CACGAGCACGTGATGCTCAGCGAAAGTGGGCGTCTGTCAGTTTAGCCTCGGCACAAAGGTCCGTCTCCGCTCTTACAACTGCATCCATGTAGCCTACAACCATTTCTACCTACATCCTGAAAAATATCAGGAAACAACACGAATTATTGTCCCTTTTCATCAACAAATGGACGTTGAGACACTGCTGGAAGTGCAAGGCTTCCGAAAGTAAGCTATTTTTTTCCAGTTGATTACGAATGACCTGCGCTTGACAGGTGACATGCTGGCAATCTAGCCAGAATCGTCTCTTTTACCACTGAATACAATATTCGTATTTTTGTGATATAAAAACAATGCCATTTTCCGCACAAATATGAAATACCAACGAGTTTGGCCACAACAGAAATTACGACAGTCATAACAATGCGACCCTTAACCCTTTCTTCTCTTTCTTCGGCGCCACAACCTACCGTTAAAGAAAGCGCATGTGTCGTCCGTGTTCTCCTTCTCTCTCTCCGGGCAGGTGAAAGGGCGTGCGGGGAAGGGGCCCTTCGTGTGGGGCACAACGCAACGCGGGGCGCTGCTGTGCGCTGGCGCTGCGCTCGGTCGCGCTCGTGCTCGTCCTGGGGCTCACGTCCCGTGCGGGCCGGCCGTGCCCTGCGCTGCGTACGGCCGGAGGGTTCGCGTCTGACTGACTCGGCTTCGGCTTCGCTCCGCTCCCGCTCCCGGTGACCGCAGCGAGCGGCAGCGAGGCTCCGCGCGGCGCGACCCCGGGCGGGGGCGGGCCGGGACCGGGGGGAGGGGGCAAGCCGCCCGCTTCCACCCTCCACCCGCCCGCCACCCCCGCGGAGCGCAGCCAAACCCGCGCGCGGGGCCGAGGGGAGGTTGCTTGCCACATTCAACCCTTCTACGTCCGAACCTCCCCAACCCCCTCCTTCCTCCTGCTGGCCGCCCTCCCCTCCTCCCCCGCCTCAGCTGTTGCATGCAGTGGTGGTTGTTGTCTAAGGTACACCACGCTTATCACCGATGGCCAATCAGTTAAGTTAGAAATCATACTGTACTTCATCAAGTATAAGGCACAACTGAATTTCTGTAATTCAATTGTAATATGTTGCTGTAACATTGAGGGCAAGTGAAATAAATGGTACGTAGTGTGGAACACAACTCAATCAATTCATTTCAAAATGATTTACATACATGTAGACATTGAGAGGTGATTATCTTACAAGACAGGTGTTTTGATTGACATTTCATTATAGAATATAAATTAAACATTTTAGAATTATACTACAAATAAGTGCTACACAGACACCAATGGCCATAAGTAAAAAAATTTCCACAAAATGGAAATCTTTGTTGTTAGTTACAAATTAACATTGACAAGTCTACAAATTACAAACAAGACTATAGGTGAAATGAAATTCATTGCGAAACACATAAAAAGCTTGAGGGAGAGCATGGACTATATACAAACATTCAAATATGCTTTCTCTCTAATAATTTTTCTATCAAATTTGTCTGGTTCCAAAACATTTTATATATTAGTAGGTAAGGATGCCACAATCTACATATGTTAAAATTTACAATGACTGATCACAGATGATGTGGATTCACATAAGAAAGCAAAATTCTAGTGTGAGATGCAACA